AACTCAAAGGTTATACATTACTTCTGCTTTTTATGCGTTTTTGCATATAAGCAAATTGCAAAAGCCCTATTAGAAAGAGAATTGCACTTTTTGTCACCCACTTTCAACTCGAGAACCAAAGCTGGAATGCTGAAGTTTTAGGGAGATGTCCCCTGTCTACGTGCAGTTTTAAAGATTTCAAATTCAGCTTCCCAAGTGCACCTGGGGCACCCACGCACGGGCATATGAAGGTTTTGGCGGGAGAATTTCTGACTCGGGAACCATAAAAGCTAGAGAGCTGAAGTTTTAGGACAATGTTTCTTGCCCGAATACAATTTAAATATTCAAATTCAGCCTTCAGGTATGCGTGGCTCACACGTATGGGCACTTAAAAGTTTTGGCGGAAAAACTGCTTATTGAACAGCTAGGTTACTTTAGAAGGACAACCGTTAAATGAAAATTGTTAATTTTCTTTATGCAAAATTTATAGTGATTTACGCTAGCGAGCGCAAAAGGTAGCTATAAAGCAACAACCATTCATGCAGTTAATGACCTGAGTAATTCAAGTCTGGTGCAAAAACGAATGATCGCACCGGCAAGCCTGGTGCGTTCCAATTTAGCTTTTTACTGCACCCTCTTTTATGCAAATTAGTCTATTGACTTATGCAAATTTTTATAGTGATTTTCATCCTCAGTAAGTTCGTTTCCCCTTATTTTCATTTAGTTTAACACGGAAACGCGGTTCATTTGTTTTGGTAGCTTTTTTTAGCCCAGAGTGCCTAGGTCAAATTGGCTTTCTCGGGTTGGAGTACTTGCGTCGAAACGTGTTTTCACGGGTCGCGATGCTGAGGGATGAAATAGGTCGGGAGAGAGAGCCAGCCCATGCATTTCGTCGAAATTGGCTTTTGCGAGTTATGGTACTTGAAATTGAGTTTACCTTCACATGGAGGGGCACTTAGGGCCAAACTGGCTTTTACGGGTCGTGATATCGAGGGCTAAATTTGGCCTTTATGGATCATATCAGCCGGGGGAGCACGCTGCTTTGCCGGAGAGGACTAAACTGGCCTTTTGCAGATGGTGGTACTTGAAGCGAAGAAGCTGGAAACGGAGAAAGAAGTTCGTG